AACCCCAAAACCCCAAAACCCCTTAATGATGAATTAGTTTCAATTGTGTATTTCAAAGTTTTAAGAAATAAATTTAATCTAATAATTAAGAGATCAATTTATTTCAAGTATCATCTTTTGAAGTTTCTCAATATCTAATGCAAAAGCAAGTTACAAATGCATTTTAAAAGAAATCGAGTCTTTCAAATTTAGGTTTTTAACTTAAAAATTCAAGAATTTATCATTGCCTATATTTTTGAAGCATTTATGTCAAGGAGCTCTTTATAAAATCCATGTCAGCTTGAATTTTATACACCTAAGTACCAAGTTCTTTAACTTATGAATCAAGTCCATCGACTTTACCATCAAGTGTATCTTATTTGGTAACGAATCCTTTACATAACTTCTCAATTTCATTCTTGCTATTCTCCTAAGTTTGATCAAGTTTCTGATTACTTTCCTTATTCTAAGTTTGAATCTAATGAAGATTCTAGATTATTTCTGCTTTAGACCTAATAACTGTAGTCCTTATTGTATACTTCAGATCTTTTATAAAACCTTACCATTCCCCAGCATCATTGATTTCTGTGTTTAAAGGTCTTCTGACAACAATATAATTTGGGAAATTTATTGTGCTTTTCAAGTCATCTTAACTATAAAGTTGCTCCCTCTCAACAATCATATGAGCTTTGACTCTGAATGATTCAGCAACTAATTTTTGCATAACTCTTTCATATGATTCTGAAATAACAGCAATTATGAAATTCATGAATACGATATTCAAAGTCATAACAGCTACCAACCAGATCAACCAAGAAAGTATCACTATACCGTTTTCTTAACTTTGGAAGTCATCAAGTTGGAAGTCACCTGATGAAATTCTAAAGGCCATCAAAAAATAAGCCAATTTGTTCATACCATTGTATTCATCAATATCCTTAGCATTAAACAAGACTAAGAAAATCATACCAAACTGCAAGATGAAAATAAGAAAAAATATCAGGAAATATTTAAGGTCCTTAAAAACACCACCCATCATTTATACTAAGAAACTAAAGCCATCGTAAATTCTCAAAAAGAAGAATAACTTCATGAAAGATAAAACTATGACAAGAATTTTAATCAAGATTAGGTTATCTTGATCCTCATTTGTGAATTCTAATATGCAATATGTAGTATAAGAAATAATATGAGTGAAATCAAAGTAATTCCATCCATCATATAAGTATTCTCTTTTTTAAACAATGATTTGTTTTATCTCATAAATTAAGAAGTAAATAAGTGTAATACTGCATAATACTTTTGTTGAGATCTTGATCCATATATTTGGCTTCAATACTTCAAGTTCCTAATCTGCATCCTTTTTATCTAATGAATTATCATCATTCTACGTAGCATAGGTTGAATAGAATATATCAAAAATAAATGAGGCCATAAAAATCAGATAAATA